TGTCTGTCTCTATCACTATACTGTTTCAGGTCCAAAAATTCACCCTGTATACCTTATTCCTAGACAGAATGATACATCTGTCAATATTACTTAAATTACAATAATTACTAAAATTATAGTATCATAAAATAACAATATTACTTTCTTTGATGCACTACTTCTCCTCCTTCAATACTGTTTTCACCACCCTATTCCTTTTCTCAAGAAGATTTCAATGCTTTCTTATTTCCTAACTTATCAGGGTTAAATTTCTCTGCCTGGCTTTTTTCAGCCCCTCACAATCTGTTCTTCATACTAAATTTTTAATCTTATTTCTCAAGATGACACAATATGTACCCCTCACCAAACTTTTTTTTTTTTTTTTTTTTGAGACAGAGTCTCACTCCCTCACCCAGGCTGGAGTGCAGTGGCGTGATCTTGGCTCACTGCAACCTCTGCCTCCTGGGTTAAAGTGATTCTCCTGCCTCAGCCTCCCAAATAGCTGCGTGCTACCAGGCCCAGCTAATTTTTGTATTTTTAGTTGAGACTGGGTTTCACCATGTTGTCCAGGCTGGTCTTGAACTCCTGACTTCAAGTGATCCGCCTGCCTCAGCCTCCCAAAGTGCTGGGATTATAGGCGTGAGCTATCGCACCTTCCCAATATGTACCCTTTTTAATGGTCTTGTGATATGACATATTGGTGCCTTACCTCATGCTGTTTCCCTGTTTTGGAGTAAATTATTTTCTTCCCATCCTCTCTCAAAAAAATTCTATACATTTTTCAGGCATGTTCTCCTTATAAAGCTATCTTTATTATTTTTTTTAATACATTAGCACTCAAACAGAAGATTTTCTAGTAGAAAGAGACTTTTAAGAGAGACTGGTCTTACTCTCTTGCTTTGCATGATATGTACTTATAGCTATTTCTTATAGCATCTAGCACAGTGCTGAGCTCAGAAGAAATGTTCAATAACTACATGACTGATTTTAAAGCGGTATGTCCCATCTTAAAACTCTACATAATCTAGGTCTGTACTTGCTTGAAATATGTAGACATTAGTTTGAGGTGACAGCCTATGAAAACAATTTAGATTTTACAACCTTTAGAAAATGGCTAAAATATTAAATAAATGGGGAGCGGGAGAGAAAGAGATTACATTGAGGTTAAGACATTTCAGTTGTTCAACCTGGACTAACTTGACCTCACCAATGAAGTCTTTGAAAAATAAACAGTTTAGGCGGAAGGCTGTTCACTGACAAATCATTTTCTATCACTGCAAAGTTCAGTAAACTACTCCAGTGAAATTCCCTTAAATGATATTCAGAACATGTTGGTGAAGAGGAGGCAATCAGTTCCCTATTATACTTTTAAAGAACATTCTCTCCTCTCTTTCTACTTCTTGTGTTGCCCCTCCCAAAACATTTCCTCTAAAGAATTTAAATCACCTTCTAACCTCTTTAAGCTTACATGCATCAATGAGGTAAGTTATAAGTCTTGCCAAAATGTACTGCTTCTGATTTTTCTATAAGACATTTTCCTTGATACTCCTCCACTTAGCTAATCATAAACCAATTTTCAACAGAAATTGTTAGTCAAATAAATCTGTGATACTTTATAAATATAGCATTTCCTAGATTGAAATGGAAAGCCTTTGCATTGGGCCAGAACTTCCTTTGTTTTGTAGCAGGCCTGATAAAATCCTGACCATTGCCTAACCTACAGTATGGGTATTAGTAGATTAATTTTGGGAGAGTCTCTTGACATCAAGAGAATATTTCCTAGCTATTTCTGTAATCAATGACTGGAAGTATCATAAAAATAATTTTTGTAATATATAAGGTTTTTGTGGGCAGAGGCCATTTTTTGTAATCCCTAGTGCATATTATAATGCCTGGTACATGGTAGGCACTCAATAAATCTCTATGAACTAAATTTGTGAATAAATCAGCACAAAGACTCCACCCAGTAGAGGACTCAGAGTTTAAGATAGAAACAACACAGAACAGTTGTCATCATTATCATTATAAATATTTATTAAATACTTAATTTGACTTGGTGGGGATATGAAATGGGAAGGAGTGTTGCAATTTTAGATAACTGGGGAAGACCTGATGTAGGTAACTTTTGAATAAAGAGATAAAAGAAAGTAAAGACATGAGAAAGAAACATTGTATTCTTACAATAGAACAAGAAAAGAGAGGGGAAGGAGGTGCCATTGTGTGTGCAAGGGGTAGGCAATACAGCAGTCCTAAAGTGATTCCCTTCTACATATAACAATCCATATTGGTTCTCACTACGGTTACGACACCAATGTATTAGGATTCAGTATATGCACGAAGCCTGAACAACCCTTTGGTTTTAATTGGCAGGAGGGCTAAGGGGATGGCTTGTAGATTGAGGTAGAACAAAAAGGCACTTAAACTAGTGTCAGGTGGGACGTAACAAAGCCACTTCAGCTGCTTTTGCTAATTTCAATGCTTACATCCAAATAAATGATAGGAAACACTTTATGAAATTATTGTAATATGTAATTAGATAAGGAAGTAGCAGGAAAAATAAAGCAAGTTAACTTGAGAATCTGGAAGAGATAATGAAGGTTAAGGAGAGATGGACAAAAAAATGATGAGCAGCAATGCAAAGGCCCAGGCTGGTCTTCTGGGGTATAATAAAATGAACGTGTAACATGGCAGATGTGGGGGCAGTGAGTGGGGCTGAGGGTGGGGTTTGCATTGGTGTGTTATGAGTTGAATTGTGAACCCTTCCCCAGTTCATTTTTTCTTTTGAGACGGAGTCTGGCTCTGGTGGCCCAGGCTGGAGTGCAGTGGTGCCATCTCAGCTCATTGTAACCTCCACCTCCTGAGTTCAAGCGATTCTTCTACCTCAGCCTCCCAAGTAGCTGGGATTACACCATGCCCAGCTAATTTATTCAAATTAAAAAAAATTTTTTTTAGTAGAGATGGGGTTTTGCCATGTTGGCCAGGCTTGTCTCAAGTGATCTGCCGGCCTCGGCTTCCCAAAGTGCTAGGATTATAGGCATGAGGCACTGTGCCTGGTCCCAGCTAATTTTTTGTATTTTTAGAGATGGGGTTTTGTCATGTTGGCCACGCTGGCACGATTCTTATGTTGAAATCCTAATCCCTAGTACCTCAGACTGTGACCTGATTTGGAAATCGGGTCATTGCAGTTATAATTAATGTTCAAGAGGTCATACTGAAGCACGGTTCGCCTCTAATCTGTTATGACTGCTGTTCGTATTAAAAAGGGAATTTCGAACACAAAGCACACAGGGAGAACAGCCATGTTCAATTGGAGTTATGCTGCCACAAGCTAACAAACCACCAGAAGTTAGGAGAGAGTCCTGGAAGAGATCCTTCCCCAGTGCCCTCAGAGGGAGCACAGCCCTGCCTATACCTTAATTTTAGACTTCTGGCCTTCGGAATTGTGAGATAATAATTTGTTGTTCTAAGCCACCCAATTTGTGGTATGTTACAGCAGCCCTAGGGAACTAATTTAGTGTGATTATTTTGAGAGGCAAACAGGAAGATCACCCTTAGAGAGTGAGATGCTTGATAGTCTTGTGCATCAGAAAAGTCCCATATCTTCGACTTCAGTAGTTAAATTGTATTTTTCTGTTTTATCAAACCTCTTTTTAATTATCGTTTTTGCTTTAGAAAAATCCCATAAAACCTGCTCTTTGCCTAATAAATTACAGGGCTCCTGATTTGTGTGCTCGAAATACTAGTCATCAAGCAGAAACTGAGACTGTGAGAATGGGCAACTAATTAAAAAAAAAAAGTCCTTTCTCAACGTTGGATTGACCTAGTGAAAGTTGACAGGTGAACCTCACTTCAGCTATCTTTCTCCCACAGGTTTTACTGCTGACTGTACCATCTCCTCTGAAGGACTGCGGTCGCTGCAGCCTCGGAGAGCGACCAGATTCCTCAGCCCACTCGTAGAGAGGCCAGGGCAAGATCAGTGTGCAGAGAAATCGGTTTCCTCCAGCCTCCTCCCCCCGGGCAGAGGACCGAAGCCAGCCCCGGCCTCGCGCGCATGCCCGGTCGGGAGGGCACTCTCAGTGGGAGCGCCCTGCTCAGGTTCTCCCCGCGGCCGAGGTGGTGGTGGGAGCGGGCGGCAGCCCGGAGATCGCAGGACCTCCGCCGGGTTAGGTTGGCGGTGCTGCAGCCAACCCAGCAGGACGCTTATTTTCAAGCCTGGGGAACGTTTTTCCTCCCGCTTTCACAAACAGCGGGGTGGAGCACGACGGCACCCTGGTTAAAGGGCCTTTCCAGCGCCCTCCAAGAGGGAGAACGACACGCTCTTCGGCAAAATCCTGGGGCGGGCGCTCTCCTCGCTGCCGGGACCTCTGTTTCTAAGCTGTTCACAACTAGAGCAGCTTTAACTGTCCCAACGACACGCCTGCCATCGAGCGCCCTCCCGGCGGCCGCCCCTCGGCCAGCTGCCCAGCGGGCGTCCTCAGGTGTCCCCAAGAGGCGCAGGCCTAGTTGCCTACACATCCTTTCCAGCTTGGTGTCGGGGCGTCCGCTTTGGCGTCCCACCACCCCTCCCGGCTCTGCGGCGGCCCAGCGTCTTCTCGGATTAATTCCGGCCTCTGCGGCCGGGTTGCCCCGTAACGAAAGCGGGCCCAGGTTCCGGGTGGATCAGGGTGGGGAAAGCAAGGCAGCGGTGAGTCGTCTGCTAGCAGATTAGACTCAATATCCCCATTCCCTGCTTTCTCCTGGCCCACCCTCCGCCGCTCAGACGGCCACTATCAGGCTCCTCAGCGGCGGCTACAGCCTGTCCGCAAACACACGCCCACCCGCTCGCTCAGCCTCACTCGCCACAGAGGGAGGCGTGGAAAAGGCACTGAGCATGCTCGCTAGGGAGGGCGGGGCGCTCGCGAGCCGCGAGTCAGGGCCGGCGCACTTCAGGCCGGCTCCAGCGCCTCCACCGCCCTCCCGCTCGGAGCCGCGCCCGCCGCAGGCTGCGCCCGCCAGCCCCGCCCCGCCCCGCCCCGCCCCGCCCCCCGCCGCTCGTCCCCGCCGCGGCCGCGCCGCCTGCAGCAGCACCAGCTGCTCCTCCCCGGCGGCCGCCCCCCGCGGGTCCCTCCCTGGCTGCGGGAGAGACGGAGTAGAGGGAGGACACGGACCCGCGCTGCCCGCACCGGAGACCTTCGCCTCGCCCCGCCAGTTCCTCACCCTCGGGGAGCAACATGGGTAAGTCATCCTTCCTCCCCCGTCATCGCCTGACATTTTTTTCTTTCTCGGTGTGCTGCAGGGTGGGAAGCATTTTAAGCGCAAAGTTGCCGGATTTCTCCAGTCCCTGGGTGTGAGACTGAGGCCGTTCCTCCGGGGAGAGTCGGCGCACGCGGAACGCACGCTGGGCGCCGGGGCTGGGAGGGTCCCGAGCGCTGGCTGGGGTGGGGTCGGCCGCGGGCCGGACCGCCGCCCGGCTCCCCGGCACCTCGCCGCCTCGCCTCCCCTCCTCCATTCTTCCTGCCGGTGCCCGGGCACACAGAGCCTGCCTCGCGCGCTCGCATCCGCGGCTCCATCCCGGTTTCTTCAGAGGCCACCAGCTTCCTTTCCCCCGCGTCTGCTGAGCTCTAGGCTCGGGTCCGACTGCGGGAGAGACCACTTCGTGTAACTTCCTTCTCTGTCAGTGCGACCTTTCCCCGTCGTGGAGACTCATCTTCCCGGGGCGGGGAAGTGGAAGTAAGTAGTTTGTGAGGGAGATCTTACAACCTGCGCGGACATTATTTTCCAAGGGAAAGAGCGGACAGCCTCACAGGTTAAAGGGATGACTTGTCAGAGGCCACGAGGAACGTGAGGCAGGATAGAGCCGCTAGCTGTTGAGTTAGTGCTGGGTGACTACAGTATGCAATATTCCTGTGCTCAGCCTGTTTTCTGGATTCCTTCGTCTGTCTTCTGTAGCAGGAAACTGCTCCCTGTAACGTTGTTACCGAACTTACATGCTAGTTATTCGTTCCCAGCGTCCCCCTGTCTAATATGCATAATCTGATTTTAGTTCCTTTGTATTTATAGTTAATCTGAAGAGATTGGTTTGGATGAGATATTTAGGAGCAAATATATTTTATTAAACGGTATATAAATTTATCCTAATTTTTTTACATCACATATTGCTTACCTGTTACATTCAGTAATCACAGAAACGTCTGACGAATGCTGTCATATAATTAAGAGCTCAAAGTTTCTTTTAATAGTAGCGACTTGAACTAAGTTCCCCAGTTTGCTTCCACTCCTGTCTGTCATAATTTCCTCTTTTTAAAATTTGCTCCCTTGGCATCTGTCAACTGGGACTTTTCCCACCCCTTCTGTGCGAGTTATTTTAAAGCTTGAGATGAATGTGGTCCTTTCATTTGTTAATACAGTGCTCAACACGTTCAGAGGTAGATCGTGCAAGTCAGAATCTTCAAGAAGTGTCTAAACCTGGGAATGGTGTCCATAGAGTTTCCTGGGACAGCAGATGCTTCAGGCTTTGATCCCGACCTTTCGCCATATATCGAGAAGAGGCCAGGGTTGACAGAGGAGGTGGTATGAATCAAGAAAGGTCTAGGGCTCTGAATTTTATTTTCAGTTGTTAAGTTGTTTTTCTTTTATGTGAGTACTCTTGATATGATGAACCAATTTCTGTAAAAACTGAGTGGCCCATTTATATGTGTCTACTTTTTCTCTTAAAGTAGAATTTTAAATACGTATTAGATTATTGGACAAGCTGTGTATTTCCGTCGAACATACACACGTTAAGGTATGTTTCCTTTGAACATACACACGTTTATCTGTGTATGTTCAAAGGAACTACACAGTTTATCCAGTAACCCTATCTGATATTGGACTATAAGTTCAGGTTTGGCTTGTAAAATACATTTTCTCATGTTTCCAGGTGAGCCTCAAACAGCCCATTTAACATTTTAACGTATATGTTAAATTCTGTACATTTTCAGTGGAAAAAATCCAATTGTTATGACGCTAGTGAATAAAAATACCTAAAAGAAATTATCTACTTAAAAATAATTTTCAAAATCTTTAATGCTACTGCTTGATTTTTTAAAAAGGGCCAAATAGAAACCTATTTCTCATTTTGAAGCCATTTCAGATACTATTAGTCTTTCTTCATAGCACTATTTGTACCTTGTTAGAAGCTTTTTATCACTTACATAATCTACCATATAATGGAATTGTTTATGTGTGTGTGCTATGCATTTAATCATGAGTCCCAGAAGATGAAAAATGTCTTACTAATTTTCATGTCCCCACAATGCTTTTCAAAAAGGAATTCAGTAAATCTTTGGCAAATTGTTGAACTTAAAACCACCTATTATTTACAACTTTTGAACCTGAAGGTATAGTCTGAACAAACATTTGGATTGGTACATATTATGGAGTTGGGGGATAAGCAGAAACAGAAAGGTATAATTGTCCCATGGCCTCTCAGCATGCTGTAGGTAGGTTTTGAGTCAACCTGAGGCAAACTATTTCCTTCTAGTGATGATGAGCATTTTTTCATATGTTTGTTGGCCTCATATATGTCTTCTTTTGTAAAGTGTCTGTTCATATTCTTTGCCCACTTTCGAATGGGCTTGTTTGTTTTTTTCTTGTACATCTGTTTTAGTTCTTCGTAGATTCTGGATATTAGCTCAGCTATTTCCTTCTAAACTCTTTTCAAGGGTAAGGTGGTTTCATGTATGATCAGTAGGTACATATGATAATTTAAAATTGAAACCTTGGAAAACAGCTTTATATCTGAGTCAAGGAAGATAGTGTAACAATTCATGCACACATAAGAAGGTATACTGATTAAACATTGGGGAGAGGGAGAAGTGCTTTTTAATTTGTCTCAATAAATAAATAAGATGATTTTTAAAGATACTCTTGGCTGGGTGTGGTGACTCATGCCTGTAATCCCAGCAGGAGGCCTAGGCGGGCAGATCACTTGAGATCAGGAGTTTGAGACCAGCCTGACCAACATGGTGAAACCCCATCTCTACTAAAAATACAAAATTAGGTCGATGTGGTGGGCACCTGTAATCCCAGCTGTGCGGGAGGCTGAGGAAGGAGAATCACTTGAACCCGGGAGGTGGAGGTTGCAGTGAGCCAAGGTTGTACTATTGCACTGCAGCCTGGCAACCAGAGCGAAACTCAATCTTATAAAATAGTAGATGTGGCCATAAAGTTATAAAGGTATTCTCATGGCAGTAATTTCTTATACAAGAGAGTGAAAGAAAATTCCTTTATAACTTTATGGCCACATCTACTATTTTATGTATATGTCATATTTCAAATTCAACATACATTAAGTATTTGTTGGATATCAACAGTATGCAATGTCCTGTACTGCAGTGTACTGGGAGGACAGAGATAAAATGATGTTCATGCTTCAAGTTGTTTAGAATCTCAGGAACAATATGACATATACACAAATTATAATAGAAATAAATATGTAAGTTATTTAAAAGACCTTTACATATATTATAGATTCAGGGAATGGAGAGAAGATTTTAGAGAAATGGTGTTATAAGAACCAAAGGTAGGTTCAACTTCTTAAAGGTAGAAATGAGATTGTTAATCACAATGGAGTTGGTCTGGGGTTGGAGGAGAAATGACATAAATGAAGATAGAGAGATAGGAAACATTTTAGGAGTTTCCAGAATATGATTAAATAGCATTGCTTGGCCAGAGCAAAAGGTAAGGAAATCGTGGGTAACAGACATAAAAAAGTAGTACAGTAATTGCTAATGACCAGATAATGGAGGATCTTAAATGCCAACTGAAGAAGAATTTGAACCTGGCGTTTGAACCTGGCTTACCTATTGAGAGACCACTTAACATTTTTATGCAGTTAAGTGATGGATCACATGTGTGGTATAGGAAAATTTGTCAGTTGAGTGCAGGATGGATTAGATGAGAAACTACAGAACACTTCCAAAGATGGTTGTTGCAGTCTGGATGAAAATGTTTAATGACCTGAACTAGGTTGTGGCAATGGGAATAGAATATTGCAAATAAAGAATAGGATTTACTTGGCAACCCATTGAATATGGAATTGAGTGTCACAGGTTTTAGCCTGGGTGATAATGAGGATATTAAAATCTCCTGATATATATTCAGTTAACAGAAAAAGGAACCGTAGATACTCAATTTTGGACCTATTACGTTGAACTTTTCTGTCTGTACTCCTTAATGACATTTAGTTTCTATTCCTTAATGACAAGGATGTTGTCATATTAGGATTTGAATACATTTCTAACACTAGTGTCTGGCACATAGTAGCTATGTAGAAAAATTTGTTGACTGACCGAAACTAGGTGAAAAATAGTTAACAAACATTTATTTTAACTTTTGAGAGTACAATTTGAATTAGAGATCCGGAAGATATCCACAAATATCCTGAGGTGATATTTGAAGTTAGGTCAGAGGACGAGAGTCAACAAAGAAAAAGAGGAAAATTGTCCATGGTAATAATCTTGAGGAATGGAGTTCCTTAAGTTTTCCATAGTTAGGGAAAAAGAAGTGGTATGATTTGACACTGAAAAACAGGTAAGAGTGAAAGACTAGAATTGGTATATGGTTGTTTTTAAGAAAGAGTGAATAGTCAATAGTGTCTGTTTTTTATAATAGGAGGGTAATAAGGACTGAGAAAAGGCTGAGTGCTTTGGTTAGGATATTACCCAGTATATTTTTCTAAAAAGCAACCTTAAGAGGTCTAGTAGATATGGAGGTCAGTTGTAAAGGCTAAATGAGTAATGAGTAAGTGGGAACAGTTCACTAGGTATAGTCATGCTGTATTTCTCACCTTGTTTAAAGATCTGTGAGAAAACATAGAGTTTTAAAATTATTTTTAACTCACTCTACATGACAGATATTATATTTTAGAAAATATTTTAAAATTTTAAATGTATTTAAATTTATAAATATTAAATAAAATTTTTTAAGTGTTCCATTTTACATGGAATGACATGTGCTGTTTTCTTGTCTAAGAATAATTTTTAATTTCACCATAGTGCTTCACATTTCTTTGACATTTCATTTTTAATGTCTTTGTGACTTAGTATAGTACAATTTTTATTTTTATAATGTTATGCAAAATGAGTCTAGAATGATTTTGTAATTTTGTACGGCATTTTGCCTAAATAATACTCTTTACTGATGCCTGGTTTTATCACGTTTAGACTTTGTGAATTTGAGACTTCTTTAGATTT